AACAAAGCTTTCAAATCACTAAAGATTGGAGAGTCTGATGCATGCAGGGGACAAGCAAGGCTGGAAGTCCTCTGTGGGAAGGCAGATGTGCCTCAGGTGTTTCCCTTTTTTGCCACTGAAGCCTGATGCTTGGATTTCCTCACTTACTACACAAGTTTCTTTCTTCATAGACTAAGGGAAAAGAAAAAAACACAAATATTGGAATTAAATACATTGGAAAAACTTGTGTGTTAGAGATGACAACAAGCCTGAAGAAAATGCAAAAGCAATTAAAAAGTACACTGGTAAAAATGTTAGAAATAAATAAAATTCCATTTAACTTTTGTCAAAGTGTAGCAGAGCACATGAGGCCCACTTAGAGTAGCATACACAGGCCTAAAGGTAAAATCTAAAATTTCTGTTATAAAAGCACTGCCCCAGGTCTCTCACCTCTTTAAAGCTGGGAAATTCTGCTGTGTCAGAAGGTTCTGTCAGAGCTTGGATTTAAAAAAACAAACAAACAAGCAAACTTGGTAAAGCATTTCAAATAAAAGGAAAAAAAAAGCATAGAACAGTGTTTATTGAAGGTAAAGCAAGGCCACATGGAAGCAAAGAGAAGTTTCTTTGTAGCCCTTGTCTGAAGTATCATCTCAAGCACCTCAGCACAACCAGGACTTCATTCCAATCAAGGAGGGAAAATGTCCAACACTCCTTTGTTTATTCCCACATTTATAGAGACATAACCCACCTTGACAGGAAGGTCATGGGCTGAAGGCTGAATAAATACCTGTGCTCACTCCCTGCCACCAGGGAAACCTTTAAAGAGTTTGGCAGATTTGTTTAAATAAAATCAGTTTACACACAAATACATGACTGGAATACAGCTCCTGGCTAATGTTAAAACGAAGAGCCTGAAACATGCAGTGACATCAAATAATCAAATCCCTCTTTCTTATGTAGCTTTTGGACAATTCATTCAGTCTAAATGTGCAGATTCCACTGGAGACAAGCTCTCTTATGTCAGCCCTCATAACTATCTTGCTAAAATCTTGAAGTGAAAATTAACACACATCTATTTTAAAATAAGAGCAGATCCTACTTTGTGTAAGTCCAACACACAGTCCTACCTTGAAAAACAAAGAAACCATTGAAATAAGTCATATTTGTTTTCCTGAGTTATTTGTGGCAATAAGCTCTAAAGAGCTGGATTCACCAGAACTGGAGCCCAATACCCTCTCAGCTCTCACACTCCCAACTTCCAGCCCTGCCAAACCCAGCAGGCTCAGATGGGGCTGACTTTTTAAATGAGAGAGTCAATCACATTATAAACTTGCATTTGACACAAAAACGATCTTTAGTGAAAGCAGAAAATCCAAATCAATCAAAACCAACAAACTTCCTCAAAACTTATACAAATATTGCCATGGGAGAGCTGATCCTGTCTGAGGGCAGGGGGTGAACACAGCAACACTGACAGACCCTTCCAGTCCTGCTTTCAATTAATTCCCACAAGTCTTTCTCCTTTTCAGACCCTCATTTACACCCAGGAGTCCATGCTAGGCTGAGGATTTGGCTCCTCTAACACAGAAGTCAATAGAGCCCATTTCTGTTTGCTAAGTGTGCCCAGTGAGAGCTGCCTTGTAGCAAACAGAGCCCTGCAGTCAATGAGCAGCCACAGCAGCACAGCCTCCCCTCACAGCAATAACGTTCTTTTACTTGGCACCAAAACAACAAATGCTCCTTCTCACAGAGGTGTATCTGTAACTGAATCCACGAAACTTCTCCACATTGCAATTTCAAAGTGCAAACTCTGGTAAATCGTGCATTGCAGTGCAAAGCAGGGTTAACACAGCACCCCCAGTTTGTGTCAGCAGGCACAACACCACACTGCTGACTCAGCTGGATTTTCATCCTCATTATCTCCCGCACAATGCAGAGGCACAGGAATTCACATCCTTCAAAACCAGGACAAAATTCTCTTCCCAGCAAGTAAGGAATAACACAGGCATAACAAGGATCTATGTGCAAAGTCAAGCTCCACACCATGGAGCACGTTAAATGCTATGGAACACATATTTTAGGGATCCTTTCACTTTCAGAGCTTATATTGTCATAACTTTCCTCAGCCAAAGTAATTTCTTTGATAGGGGAATCAGTAAGAATTAAAGCCTCTGCAGACACAAGGAAAAAGAATTGCATAAAATTCTCTGTGTTTGGAACATGGTTTCACAAGTTACACACATGGAAAGTATCAGAAAACAACCTGATTTATTTGCAATCTGTGAAAAAATTCTGTCACCCAGTTCTCCAAAGTGTTCAACATTTCTAGTGAAGAGAATAAAATAGCAGAAATACAACTATTTCAAGAAACAATCACAAACCTTGCAATCTTAAAACCAAGTTAAATTATGGATCCAAAGTAGATTGATTCATTCAAGCCATCTGCTCTTTTATTGACATGAGAAAAAACACCAAATAAATAGAAATTTTTAGAGCATGTTTATCTGATTCCTCCCATTTTTCCAAGTCCCACAGATACCCACTCCCATTGGTCAGAGGAGAAAATCATGTAAATTTTGCTCTTCTTCGAAACCAAACAAAAAATACCCCCTAACCCAAACCCATTATAAACCAGTATTAAGATTCCATATGCACATTGTTACATTACAGTCCTTCTATCATATGGAAAGCAATGCTAAAAATGTGTGTTTATAGAGATATTTTCTTCAGAGGCAGAACAACCACTGTTTACACATTCTTTTAAGCAGAATGAGAAGAACTACAGCACACACATTTTGCCTTTCACAAACACACACTTAAGCCAAAGCATTCAAGCAGAGCATGTTTGGGATTGTGAATGTGTCAAGATAACCCAAACAACACTGGCTGCAATTCTTTACCCATTGTATTGCCATCAAACATGATAGTTATTTCACTCAGACAAAAAACATAATATACACACAGAAAAAAAAAAAAAATTATCTCATCTATATATAGTATGCACTTATCATAAAATGATAGAATTAATATAGAGAGCTAAAAGACAGTTGACACCTCCAGAAGGAATTAAAATCCAGGTTCTTGGGATAACTCCTATGCCAGTTTGCTCTTCCTTCCAACACAGTAATTTAAATAAATTTACATTAAGCACCGATATTCCTGAAAAGGCTTATAAACAATTTAGACAATAACAGTGGAGTAATTCTCTCACAAAAAAATCTCCAAACCAAACAAAACCAAACTTCTGAACTTGGGGACAAACCAGACAGTACATGGTATTACCTTTAGATTGGACAACCAAGTTCACAAAATAAGGGTAATAATTCTGCCAAAAAATCCTTCAGTCTGGTACAAATACAAATGTTACATTTTTTAAGGTTATGTTTTAATTTCCTTGCAGTACCTGCAGATGTTATAAAGCAACAGGTTGCTTTTGCTATTTCTGTATCAGTAGGAGTCTTCTACTGAAGAGACAACTTTTAGACATTTTATAGAATAGACATTCCTAAAGAATGCAGAACGCAACTGAGAGTACTCAAGCATAAAGCTGTGAAAACAATGAATAAGAGTAAATATTGCCTGATTTAAAGCTGCTATAACTCTAAGGAAAGCAGAGAGAACTCCATTAGCCCTGCAAAGGGATGTGAGGCAGCACCATCTAAATGAAATCATGCTCATCAGTGCAAACCCACTTCCAACACCACCACAGTGCAAACCACCCTCCCCCATTCTGTGTCCTCAATAAAAAACATCCCATCTAGTGATGAGCACAAGAGATACCGTGTTTCTGAATTTTCCTTGCAGAAGGGAGTATTTTACAAAAGGATGTGTCTCTGGCTATCTCCTTTCAGCAGTTCCCAAAGCAGAAAAGGGCAGGATTTACCCCCAGTGCCTTTACTCTCAAACCTCAGGCCACCTGTGGTGAGGGATCTCAGCACACCAGCCCCGCTGAGGCACCAAACTGCTTCAGCAGACAGAAACTTGGCCCCTTGTAGTTCATTGTCCTTAAAATCATAAATGCACAGTGTTTGTTTCTTCTGTGCAGAAAAGACAACAGGAAATGCCTCTGGGATTAACTCATCACCAGCTCTGGGATCAGCACAAATGGTGAACCTCCATCACCTCCTCTATGAATAGCTCAGTGGGTAGCAAATGGGGCCAATAACGCTAAGCTCGAGAGTTCGGTTCCTTGTTCAGCCGCTTAATCAAAATGTAAATTGGATGGTTTTGGTTGGGCCTCTTCTAACTTGGAAGGAGTGCACATAACCAAGTGTGACTCAAGTTCTTGTAACAGCACTGAATGCAACCATCAGTGCTCATCACACACAAATGGCCACTTACACATCATCTCTTTCATTGGTATGACTAAGTATCACTAGAACGCTATCTTATGGGTAACAAGTGAATAACTGCTCCCCTCACGGGGCCACCGAGCGCTGGGAGTGCCCTGGGATCAGCAGAGGTGCGGCGACGCCTCACCTGACACCGTCTCGTGTCGCTGTGGGATCTCCCCAGTGGCTTTAGGCCGTGTCACGGCCGGATTGAGCCGTGTCCCGGCTGGACTGTGCTGTGTCTCG